CCCCACCACGTATGATCTTTATTTTATGATGATTAAACCAGACAGAAACACTACACAACAACATTATTGTTATACAAAGAGATTGTTACTTTAAACCCTTCATTGGTTGTTAATATTTTTTTAATAAAATATAGAGCAATTATATTTTTTTTTTATTTTCATCATGTATGCATGTTTCTCATTACAAGTTGTCTTTAGAAAGTTACATATATATGTAAAGTAAAGTTTATTTTATATAGAACTTTAATTATCTAAATTAATGTGTAGAGATTGTCTTCGTTAAATGTTCACATGCATGTTTGTTTTTCCAAATTGTAAAGGCTGAGTTAAAGCTTTTAAAATCTCATCACCTATATATGTTATGGAGACCATAACCCTTTTCTTTAAAACACGAGCTCACAGCTTCAATTCTCTCTTCCCACTTCAATTTGACACCTCCATATATATATATATATAGTAGAGTAATGTGCAAATAAATTTCATGTGACATATTAAAATAATATATTAATTAAAACATTATATATTTATGTGTGGGTGTGTGTGTTTAAATTCGTATTCGAATATATTTCGAAAGAAAAATACATTTGAAGGCATTAAACTGCAATGAAAAGGTTATTAATTAGACAATTTATAGCAAGTTAATTCCTTTCACTTATTTGAAAAAAAAAAAAAAAAAAAAAAAAAAAAAAAAAAGAAAGGACAATCCTTCCAGCGTCTTACAGACTGGAGAGAGCTTTTCTGTAGCAAAATTAATGATTTTCTGACAGTGAGAGAAGGAGACCAAATGCATTAAATTTGAACAGTTATGGAGTAAAAGCCATACCTACACATACATAATTTTTTGCTTCATTTATTAGCTTCAAAACTTTGTGCCAGTCAATAACAGTGATTTTTTTTTTTTTTTTCTTTTTCTATTTATATTGAGTAATGTTTTTTAGGTCTTTTTGTTTGTGGAATAATGTAATTAAGGAAAATGTTTCTCAGTGGATTTGTCTAACTTAAGGATTCTTATTGTATTGGATATGACCCACATTTGAGTTTATATATTCATCACATAAGATGGATAAAAGTCTTACGATATCGACGAGCTTGGCGAGGGATAATCGTCCCAATCCCCCGTAATTTTGTGACTTACCCAGCTTCAAGGATACAAGTGAGAACAGATGCAACAAAAGATGATCAGTCAATTTATCTCTTTCATTGTCTTCGATAAAATTTTTTATCACCATTTGAATCATCATTTATTTTCCGACTTACATGAGTCTAGATAAATTCACCTGAGTATCAGTACTCTGTAATTAATACTGTTTTTATCATTTTGATGTAGTGGAGAAACTCAATTGTGAGTCATATCTATTACATCAAAGGAAAAAAAACCCTACCCATTATACAAATAGACTAAAGAATCAACCAAATAAATGTTTTTCTTATATTTTAAAAATAATAATAATTTTAACTATTAGTAGATTGTGTCATAACTCTATAATTCAAATTAGATTTAACGTTGGATGAAACAATAGGTAGAGCTAATCTGTGAACAACCGACTATTGCACTGTAAAAATAGAATAAGTTTCATTTATGGACATTAGTGTTTCTTAAAAGATTTACTAAATTCATTGAGTTATTCAAAAAAACCCAAAACCGTCCATTATTATTATTGCTTGATGTGACAATCGAGATGAACACCTATTTTTTTTTTAATATTGACAAGAATCTTTGAGAGGGTGAGGGTTTGGGACAGTGAATTGTTGTTGAGGTTGTTGTGGGGTTGGGCAAGGGTTGGCAAAAGGCAATGTATGAATGTGGAGCCCTTTCTATTTAATTAATTAGTTTGTCCTACTAATTTGATTATGCCCATTATCTGTCTAACCTTTTTTTGTTCCCTTTATGACATTACATACATTGTGTCTACTTTATAAATGGTAATATAATATAAGTGGTTTCATCTTAAATAATATATAGTATAAATAGATTTTAGTCCCTATAAAAATGTAGTATGCACATTGTTTTGGCAACCCACCTTGAAAAAATGATACATCAACATTGAAATTGATTATTAATACTCCCTCTATTTTAAAAAAATAATAATAATAATAATTTTTTTTTTTTTTTTTTTTTTTTGAGATAGAGAGAGTATTAATAATCAATTTAAATTTATTTTTTTTGGGCTGTCCCAAAATAAATGTCCAATTTTCTTTTTCAAATAATATATTTTATATCTTTTTATATATGTCATTGGAGTTTAAAATTTCAAATTTGAATATTCAAAATTTAAAGGGCAAGTTAATAATTTTTCAGAGGGATAATACATGACCCACACGTCTTCTTAAAAATTTCTATACCCCAAAATGAATATTTTTTTTTAGAGAGAGGGAGTAATAGTTTTGAATCTTTTGATCACTGTCAAGCCCGCGATGTTATTGAAACCCTTCCCCAATACCAAAAAAAATAAAAATAAAAAATCTAAGCAAGCAAAATTCACGCGTGTAAGAATCCACTTATTTTGGAATAGTTCTTTAAAAGAGTAAATTATAAGAAAATAAATAATTAGGTGGCTGAAAAAGTTGAGGAGCCGAAGGGCTCTCCATTGACACATTTCTTGGGGTGGGACCTTATTTGAGACCCACACAAACAAATGTGTGGATGGGGAGCCCTTCCTCCAACCTTTTTGGCCAACTTAATTATAACTGTTCTTATAAAAATACAACACTGTAAGCCATTTTGATAACAATTTTCTAAAAATAATTTTCACAAATAACCAATCAAAAAAATTTATGGTTTTTTTCCCGTTAACAAGTATAGGAAATTAATTGGTTTTTTATATTGCGCCAAACAGGCCCTACACTTGCCAATAACCCATATTTGGCAAATATTTGTTCAAATTAATGAGATTCTCTGACACGGAAACTAGGGAGTAAGTGAGTGTTTGTGGAACATAATTAAACACAAGGCAAGAGCAATGAGTAGTAAAAGGAGAAAATTAAGACGATGATGAAGCACACAGATTCGGATTCGGTGGTTGACATAAAAAAAAAAAAAAAAAAAAAAAAAATGAAATATTGGAATGCCTAGTAGTTACAACAATAACCTAATCTTTTGATGTACGATGGAATAAGACAAGTCAACCACTAACTATGTTCTAGATTTATTTTATTTCATATATATATATATGTATGTATGTATATGGATTAGAGTAGCGTATAAGCAAAACAATGAATCTAAAAATAGAAGTGCAGTCCAGTCAGGGTCGTTAACCTAGTGACTTATTGGAAATGGTTGGTGGCCGAATGTACGTTTTCCTATTTGTAACATTTGTTTAAGGGCTGTTTGGAATTTAAAGTCAAACTATGCAATAAGGAAAGGATCATTTTTGTCCCAAGGAAATATTAAGCCTAATAATCATTTACGGAAGGTTGTAACTTAGTGACACTTCCTTATCTTTTAAAATAAAAGGTTGAGAGTTATATAGGTCTCTTTGTCTCCCATGGTCTGTGCTCACCTAGGAATAGATTCGAAAGAAAGGATGCAATGTTAGAGCAAGTTAGGTTGAGGTATAGTGGGAGATGACAAATGAAGTTCGGGTACGTTTATAGAGTGATATGAATTTAATGATCAACTCGTCTCAGTTGTTCTGAACCGAAATATAAATGCAAGGAAGAAGATTAGGCCTAGTAGATCGACAATGATGATTATGCCCGTGATTTGAACAACTCACCACCTGACCTCACCTCTCCTGTGAGACCGGAAAAGTTATACTATTGGGTTAATGGACTATTGATTCATTATTTATTTATTTATTTATTTATGTATTTTTTTTTGTCATTAGCCAAAAAAACACACTCCACTCACACATTTTACTTTGCCCCTTTCAAAACTCAAACCCTCACCGTTCACTTTGACTGATAGAGAATTACAAGATCAACATATATGATCGCTTTCTTATCGCATTATTTAGTCAGTTTAATTTTTTTTATAGCTGGAATAAAGGAAAAATTGATAGCCCCTACAAACCATGCACTTGGTATTTTGTTGCGGTAGTTGAGTTCAAATTCTTATGGTCTCTCTTTTCAAGGCCAAGCCCGAACTGTGACCTCAAATGGGGACCATTGTTGGTACCCAATCATAGCTTTATGCAGCCCAAAAACTGCTTGATTTTGAAAAGCAAAATAATAATAATAATAATAATGATAGTTTTGAATTAATAATGGTTAGTGACCGTTTGAATTTCTTTTTTTTTTAGAAAAAAAAAACAAAAAATTGCTATTTTTTTCCCTATAAAGTAGCCAAAAACAAAAATATTATAAAATATTGTAATCTAGTGATATCTTGTCTATTTAAGATAAAGTCAAGGTTCAAATTCATTGGGGGTATAAGTCAAAAAAAGAAAAATAAAATAAAAATATCCCAAAAGGTCCATTCTCCTCACAACTTATGAACACTTTCACTTTCTTTGCCTTTTCCTTTTTTGTTTTGTTTTCATTATATTAATTAGTGTTCTTTTTCTGGGTAACAAGAAGCCGTACTGATTACCTTTTGTACTCGTAGCTATAATAGCTAGATGAACTCTTGGATATTGGGACTCCAAAGTAAATAGCGGATGTCTTTAAGTAACCAGCAAATATTAGATAAATAAATATATATATATATATATATATATATATAATTGGAGTATAAGCCAAATGATTATAAAATTTGAAGTGCAGTCTAGTGTCCCAAAAAGGATTTTGTTACCCGGCCATCTCAATAATTCTTTAAGGGCTGTTTGGAAGTTCAGACAAATGTTAACGAAAAGAAAACAGAGATGTCACGTCGCTCAAATTCTCTCTCCATAATTTGATTTTTTTTAGTGTACCAAGTTCAAATGTTCCAAACATTCCGAGAGGTTGCAATCTTTGTATATACTGAACAATGATGTATAATATTTCAAATTAAAGCATCAATTAAAAATCAACAACATTTGTTCACATTAGTCTATATATATCGCCTGTCGAACCAAATATATTGAATATACCTTGCATTACAACTTAATTTTGATACATTTAATTTAGGAGGAAATTAAATAACAGAAATATAGATACCCCACCAAAGCAATACAAACCATAAGCAAATTACTACTAATTTGACAAAAATAAATAAAGAGTAAATAAAAATCAATTTACTGATTGGACACAGGTTTATATATAAACTAAAAAACAACTTGTCACAGCTTCATTCTTCCTCAGCCATGACCATTCTACTAAGAGGGCTAGGCCCAAGTTTCTTCCTTCTCAAAGCACTCCTCCTCCTAATAACTTCCATCTGGTTCCTCCTCCTCACCTGCATCATTGCCTCTTCTTCCACAACAAATCTCCTCATTAGAACATCATCTGTCAGAGACTTCCCGCGGAAAATCCTCCTAGTACTCTCCGTGCTGATTCGCGCGCTTGGAATTCTAATATTTTCTTGTGGGTTGGAAAATGGCTTTGATCTCGGGTACGTGTTGCTTCTTCTAGGTGGGATTTCGGCTTGGAAGACTTCGGTGTAGGAGGAGATTGGTGCGCACAGACAAACTCTAGTGAATGTGGTGGCAACCCTTAGAGAGGTGCATTTTCGGAGCTTCTGTGACCTGGTGGTGGTGGTGGTGGTGGTGGTTGTTGTGGTTGGAAGGTCTGTGGATTTGGAAATGGTTTTCCACAAGGTGGTGTTTGGGGTGGGGAGTAATTCAGATGACTTGGAAAAGGCTTTCCATGGAGTGGCCATTTCCATTGCTCTATAATACCAAGGTCTCCTACACCATAAGACATGCATGTCATGCATACATTTGTTTGAAATTGTGTGCTTGTATGTGTGTACATGCTTTAATCCACAATACATGCATTCGCGATAACAAGGATGAATCTCCTCAAAACCGCTAGTGTAGCACAGTGATAGACTGACACGTGTCATCTTAAAATTTAGAGTACCTAAAGCGAAAAAGTTATTCCATTTTATATTTAAAATGCTAAAGATCATATTATCGTGTCACACAAAGAGATATTTAAGATCAATCAACCATTAATCAATTAAGTATTAGTAATTTTACTCACCTTGTGATGGGTGTGTCCCATCCTACTCTTGTTAGGACAGATTTTGATGTATTTTTAAGGTCAGCATATCCCATCCTACTCTTGTTTAGGAGAAGAGTCAAAAAGTTGTTCATCTAAAAGCAATCTCAATTAGTTATAAAATTGTACTGTAAATAATTAAATATTGAGCTTTCCATTTTAATTATATTTCATGATTTTTTTAGATTTTAATTGCAAATATAAAGTAAAAAGATTTTTTTATTATATTATGTTGAATTTGTTTAGGATTAGATTTTTATTTTTTTATTAAAAAAATGTTATGGAATATGCTGACCTTAACACATCAAGTTTTTATTTATTTATTTTTTATATATTTTTCCAAACATCAAGTTTTTTGTTCATGGTGCAAATTGGGATGGGAATGTCAACCCCTTAATCAGGAATGAAGGTGGGCTAATTTTGTTCAACGTATTGATCCAAGCCCAAAAAAAAACTAAAGATAAGGATAGTAATTTAAGCCCAAACAAAGCTCTTAAACTGCAGTACAAGCCCATCTATTATTGCTTAGATTCTAGGCCTTTTACCAGTTAAGAGTTCTCATGTTTGATTACAACCAAGTAGGCATTGGAACCTAAATGTTCACCAGGCATGGGCTAGGCAGGATAACTCGGTCCAAAAACCCAATAATAGAATTCATAACACGGCATTATGCTGATATAATCTATCCTCTATATATATATATATATATATATATACATACATATATATATGTAATGCTATAATGTCCTAAAATTATTAATGGACACTAGTTTAAACGATATGATCTCTTTTTTAATTAAATGAGAGATTAAATGTTCTAGCTCGAGTATTGTTTGCCTGTTTGCTTGATCTGTCTCCCAATAACAAATTGAGAGGAAATGGATGGCAAGAGTTGCAAATTCAATGAAACGTTTCTAATACCAATTTTACCCTTATTTTTATAAAAGACAAAATCAAAATACCATACGAGTCCTACGACCTAAAATTGCCAACTATTTCAAATGGAAACTGCCCAATTTTTACCATGAGAAGATATATAAACTATGTGTTAACAAACTCTGCCTCAACTGCTAGATGCTAATTAGCCATACAGTAAAAAAAAATCAGCACATATTTTTGTAGTAGAAGAAGAGAAAAGCAATCAAAGAGTGCGATCAATGTTACGTAAGTGAAAAATGAATGATCAAACTGTAAAATTCTATTGCATCTTGCACTAGATGAACAATATATATCTGCTATCTCCAATGTGTGTGTGTGTGTGTGTGTGTGTGTGTGTGTGTGTGTGAGAGAGAGAGAGAGAGAGAGAGAGAGAGAGCGAGAGAGAGAGAGTGATGTGTTGACATACCTTGTTTGTGAGTTCTTTGGATCTTGCATGAACAAAGCGAAGTGTGAGTATGAGGGAGGTGGATAAAGAGAGCAGGGGAGTTCATCTGAGTAGGAGAATGATGAAACCTTTTGCTTCAGTTTGTGACTGAAAGAGAGATGGGTTGGCAATGGGATTCTTTTCTCTCCTTTTTCTCCTTTCTTTATTGCATACTCTTCCATTTGCTTTGGCAGGCATGATTCCTACTGATTTAGAGAGAGAGAGAGAGAGAGAGAGAGTCAAATTTCAAAGGCAAAGTAAATTTTGCTTTATTTGTGAAGTTACAAAAGTAACCCTAATCACTTTAAAAAGGCACCATCATATAATGAGGGTATGTAAAGTACCTACACCCTTGTAATCATGTTTAGTTCCCTATTATATATGTTTGTGAGCATGCAAGTCTGCAAGAGAAGTTGGTCCATTTATTTGTGTACCAAAAAGCCTGGCCTGCCTGTGACTTAAAAATAAATTTATGTAGGATCAATTTGTGCCTCTTTTAGTTTGTGTCTCAGCCTTTCAATTTTTATTAATATAGACATGATTAATTTGCAAGTTGGAATTCATCATAGTGTCTCCTTTTCAAATTAATAACTAAGTTCCTTTTTTATATTTATAAATTCGATTTGGGATGCATCTAAATGCATTAGGCCAAGATCTATAATCATTGCTTGAACTTCTTTTATCTGAGTAACTTCTTTTTCATTTACTAGATGTTCAAGTATAAACAAGTTTTTCTTTTCACAAAAGTTTTAGGATGTCATAAATGGTAAATATTTTTTATAAAAAAAATAAATAAAGATGAAAAAAGAATTTGTGTTAGCTAGTTAATTGGCAAACTTGGAGCATAAAGCTACCCCGATTGTATTCTGTGAAAGTTGGATGTACCTAGCTGTACATATTGTTTTCCTATTTTAAACTCGTTGCAATAAAGTTGTCTTGTATTAAAACTCGTTCTTCAAACTCATAATTTTTTAATTTAAAGCTCGCTCTTTTAAATGTTTTTCTACAAAATAGTTGTATTTAGGTCTTCTCCATACCAATAACTTCCAAGATTAGACTCGTCAAGGCTCAAAGAAAGTTTATAGCAGTAACTCTAGTTTAGCTGGTAATGTAAGTTGGGGATTGGTCCATGTTTGGGTTTTGAAATTTCAAAGCGGCAATGGAAATCCTGCATAAACAATAGTCAATTACTTGTACAGAACACACAGCTGCTAACACTGAGCAGACCATACTGCGTAAGAAAATATTCTCTCTCCGAATTTGGTGAGAGAATCATACATACTGAATATTGTCATTCTCAGGATATACTTTTCACATTTAGAATAAGTTAATGTAGATCATATCTAAATTCAAATGAATAATATTGTCGTCCATTGGATATACTTTTTACATGTAACAAATATGCTTTGAATAAGTTAAGGTAGAGAATATCTAAATTCAATGGAATAATATTCTTAGAGCATCAGTTTTGGATCTTTTCACTTTTATAAATATATAGAGGTTGACGTGCTTAGCTATTAAAGTAGCCAGCCTAGCCAGTCGATCTGGTGCTGAGTGTTGACTAGATACTTATATTATATATTAAGGTTTTAGCGCAAAAAACACCCCTCTTAAATTCAAATGGTGCAAAAAATCCCTGATTAGATTTTTGGGTGCACAAAACCCCCTGCTATTTGTCTTGGTGCAAGTTGACCCTAATAATCTATTTTGACCAAAAATTTTTATGAAAATTTCAACATTACCCATTTCATTGGCAGCCACCACCACAACTACATCTTCTCTCCTCTCTCTGACCCTTTCTCCACTGGCATGAAATTCACGGCCAATACCGTTAGGCTGGGTTTCCCTCCTAATGTGAGGATGGCCTAAGTGAAGCCCATGTGGGTTTGAAGCCCACATATATACACAAATATATATATATATATATATATATATATATATATGTAATTTGTGTATTGAGGAAAGATGATGAGGGCCGTTGCTGCTGAAAAATAGAGAGAAATAATTTCCTAAAATCAGTTTTTTCAAGTGTGACCAGATTTCATCAAGAGCTCAGATTAGCAGGTGTTTGTGGTCCAATCGAGCTGAAATTTGGCAGGTGGGTTCACAATACAAGGCTCTACATTCTGAACGGTAAAGATTAGATTTCGAGCATTCTGGAACAATTTTTGGGTCCGTGAACAGTACCTTTGTTTTTATTGAGATATCTTCTTAATCTTTGATTAAAAGGTATTTGTTGCCAAGAAAGATTTTTCTTAAGATTGTTTACCTCTAGTTCTAACTAGAGAGAACTCTTGTACACCCATTATTTTGTTGATAGTGGAGATTTAGTGACTACGGTCTCGTGGTTTTTTGCTTCCCACATCAGGGAGTTTTTTCCACGCTAAAATTGATTGTGTCATATGTGTGTGTGATGTTGATTATATTTTCAGATTATTGTGCTCTATTTAATTACTTCCTAACATATTTACACATAAAGGGAGAATATATTTTTGCTGATTTAATTGTGAGAGATTCAGGTTGCTAGAATTAGTCCTTTGAATTCTCTCAACAAGTGGTATCAGAGTCTGATTATTATTATTGCTGAATTTCTTATGTTAAATGATGGAAGCAAACTTAAGTAGAATGGTCACTTTGAATGGTTCAAATTACCACACTTGGAAAGGAAAAATAGAGACCTTCTCTATGTGAAGCAATTTCATTTACCGGTGTTTGCTAATGGAAAGCCTAATAATAAATCTGACGAAGAATGGGCATTACAACATTGGCAAGTGTGTGGATATATTAGACAGTGGGTTGATGATAATGTTTGGAACCATATTATTGAAGAAACACATGCACGCACACTTTGGAATAAGCTTGAACAGTTGTATGCCCGGAAGACTGGAAATAACAACATGTTTTTGATAAAACACTTGATGACTTTGAGATACCAATATGGGACTCCAATAATAGATCTCTTGAACACTTTCCAAGGAATAATTAATCATCTGGCTAAAATGGGTATTAAGTTTGATATTGAGCTACAGGGGTTGTGTTTACTTGGTACATTGCCGGACTCATGGGAGACCTTCAGAATGTCATTGTTTAATTTAGCTCCGGATGGCTTAATCAATATGGATCTGACTAAGAGTAGTGTTTTGAATGAAGAAATGAGAAGAAAATCACAGGGATCCAGTTCACAGTCAGAGGTTTTGGTTATAGAAAATAGGGGGAGAAGTAAGAGCAGAGGTCAGAAGAATAAAGATAAAGGCAGAAGCAAGTCCAACAAGTTTGCTAATGTTGAGTGCTATCATTGTGGCATGAAAGGGCACATCAAGAAACATTGCAGAAAGTTGAAGAGAGAGAATAAGGGGAAAGGGAATGAGAAAAAGAATAATGATGGCAAGGATGATGATCGAGTTGCCACCACTACTTTCAAAGACTTCCTCATTGTTTATGATGATGATGCTATTAATATTGCATACCATGAAACTAGCTAGGTTATTGATAGTGGCGCCTCTATTCGAGCTACATCTCAAGATGATGCCTTTACATCCTATACAATAGATGACTTTGGGACAGTAAATATGGGAAATGATGACTTGGCCAAAATCATTGGTATTGGAGATATGTGCTTGGAAATGAATAATGGCACGAGATTGGTCCTTAAAGATGTAAGGCATATTCCTGACATCCGCTTGAATTTGATTTCTGCAGGCAAACTTGATGATGATGGTTATTATAGCTCCTTTAGTGATGGCCAATGGAAGTTCACCAGGGGTGCTATAATAGTTGCTCGGGGCAAGAAGTTTTCTAGTTTATATGTGTTGCAGGCAAGAATCTCCAAAGGCAATATTAATACAATGGAAGATAAGCACTCAATTGAGTTGTGGCATAAAAGACTTGCTCACATGAGTGAGAAAGGCTTGACAATGTTGGCTAAAAAGAATCTTTAGTCAGGAATTAAGAGTGCATCTTTGAAAAAATGTACTCATTGTTTGGCAGGGAAGCAGAATAGAGTTTCCTTCAAAAGTTCCCTTCCTTTAAGAAAGCCATGTTTACTTAACTTGATACATTCAGATGTCTGTGGCCCTATGAAAACAAGGTCACTCGGTGGCTTCCGTTATTTTGTGACTTTCATACATGATCATTCAAGGAAATCATGAGTGTATATCTTGAGAAGAAAAGATCAAGTGTTGGATGTGTTTAAACAGTTTTAGGCTTTAGTTAAGAGACAGACTGGAAATAAACTGAAGTGCATCAGAACAGATAATGGGGGAGAGTACATAGGTTTTTTTGATGACTATTGCAGACAACAGAGTATTTGACATCAAAAGACACCTCCCAAGACTCCTCAGTTGAATGGTTTATCTGAGAGGATGAACGTGACACTAGTTGAAAGAGTGAGATGTTTGCTTTCACGGCATAATTGCCAAGATCCTTTTGGGGTGAAGCTTTGAGTACAGCTGTACATGTTGTTAATATCATACCATGTACTTCTCTTCAGTTCGATGTACTTGACAGAGTTTCGATTAGCAAGGATGTTTCTTATGATCATTTACGTGTCTTTGGGTGTAAGGGTTTCATGCATATTCCCAAAGATGAGAGGTCTAAGCTTGATATAAAGACCCGACAATGCATCTTTCTAGGCAATGGCCTGGATAAGTTTGGCTACAGGTTATATGATCTAGTTGACCCAAGCCCAAACCAAAATTAGAAAAGCATCAACCAAGCCCACAAAATTTCAGGTTGGGCTCGATTTATTTCTGGTTTGGCCCGCCCGAGTTGCAGCCCTACTTTTATGTAAATGGGGATGGGGGTAGTTTTTCTAAACCCCGGCAAAGATGGGGGCGAGGATAGGGTAAACCCGTCCCACCCCACCCTGTTTATGGTGTACGTTTACAAAAATACCCTTATATATATATATATGTTAATGTAAGTATATATATATTTTTATATATAACATGTGGGAACAATTTAAAACTTAGCAGACAACCTTTTATTTTTAATTCTTTCTCTCATTAACCGAGGAATCTCTTTCCCTTTACTTTTTTTTTATATATTTCTTTACTTTTTTCTTTCTCTTAAAAAGGATATATTTTTTTCTTCAACCTTTTCCTTTCCGAAACAAAATCAAACAATTATTTATTTATTGAATTCAAAACCTATTTCAACTGACTAAGCAATTGCGATGACAATAAGAAGGTTAGTTGG